GTTAACCACATGAACGAACCGAGCCATTGCTCCAACGTGATCTGCAGCTACCATAGCCCGAGCTTCATCTAATTTCGCTTCAGCAACAACGTATTTCTGACGCATTTCATCCCTTATTTCCTGAATTTGCAAGTGCACTTAAACTAAGTATCAATCAACATAACAGAAATTGAATGATGAAGAGAAACCTTTTCTTTTGCTAGTTCTTTTTCCATCACTTGCTTCTGAGCGGCAGTCAGTTTCCCTTCTTTTCGTTTCTTTTCAGCAAGCTCTCTTCGAAGTTGCATTTCGGCTACTTGATCGCGGAAGCTGTACGCTTTATTTTCCCGACGCATATTATAGGTTATTTCACCTTCGTCACTGAAAATCAATGTTGGTTCCGATTCCTATGAATTAGCAATTTTACATCATTAAAAAGACAATATTATAATAACAGCTTCAAGAACATGGCAGCACATACAATTCTAAAACTTCGGTGTTGTATAGATGACCTTCGGAACACTGGTAAATCAGAACATGTCTTTCAGGGATCCGAACGTACTCGCCAACATCAATTTCAGCTATGCTTTTTTCTATGTAACTCCAAAGTCCGTCTCGTAAGGATGGGTGATTAAGGGCCACGAGGGTTATCAAAGCATTGTCCCTGAAAGAGTGAAATTCCATTTTATCTTACGAGTTTTGAGAAATACAAAATGCGAATCTTTGAAAGATGAGAAACAGTGACAGACCGAACGCTACGATCCGGGCAATGTAGAACCAGATTGATCGCAGTTTCCTTGAAAACACTGCTCTGCTTCAATTGAGATGTACTAGTTTGACCATGCATCCATCTCAACCACACTGATCCATCAACCTCCACTAAAATATGAAATCAAAAATTCTGTTGAAAAGAATACGAATACCGGTACAACTGCAATGAACACTGGCAATGAAAATATGAAAGAGTGCATACCAAGTCTCTGGAGCGAAGCTAACAGTAAAGTGTGGATAGCAAGCTTATCTAGTTCTGGTCCCTTTGGAGTGAGCAACAACCGTAGAACCTTGAATTAATCGACTTTGAGAGGAACAAATGCAGTAGAGCCAATACATATAAACAAAATAACCAAAACGAATTCACCTGCACATACCACTCGCCTGGGACTGTGAAGGACGAAGGGTCCTGATTACTGTGCATAACTTTTCGCAAGGTCTGCAATAGAATTGAAATAAGTAGGCCTAAGACAATATCGTTACGCAGCGGCCACACACCTACCTGATCTACGAATCCATTGACAGTCTCCGTGAATATCGTATCAGCTAATGCTTCAGCAAAATGAGATTCTTCAACTGTGAGGATTCGCTCTAGAGCGAGGGAAGAGCGCTTTCTCACTTGCCAGTGAGGCCAGAATAGTAGAATTGTTAATGATTTCATACACATCGGAGGATAAGAACCAGTCTAAAGGCGATGGCTTTAATTCTGCGCATCCATATCCAAAAGTTAAAAAAAGAAAATGAAGGGAACCCTCGATTTAGGTCCAATTTACTCCATAGAAACATTAAAGAACAGGAGAGAGCTTCAGATAAGAAGAACATAGAGAAACACTCACAGCATTCGAGATCGGCCTTTCAAGGATCATTTTTTCTGTGAGATCAATCCATGCGAAGGCATCATCCGTAGACATCGCTGAGAGGGCTCTGTCCTTAAAATTACCGATCAAGAAGAAAAACAAGAGTTCTTCTGAAATATCTCTGGCGATCGCGCTGAGAGGGCTCCCGATCGAGAAGAAAAACAAGAATTCTTCTGAAATATTTCTGACGACCAAAAAGTAAAATGGTTCTCTGTGCAAAATAATCAATACCTTCAGCATCCCGTCGTAACCAGAAATCTTCTCCCATAGTTTGGTGTGGTTAGCTGTACCCGCATTAGAGCTCTCCATTAAAAGGAGATATAGAGAAAGAAACTGGAGGGGTTCCTTCAGAACAGCTTCACATTCTTGCCACAGTTGCTTTTCTGATTCTGCCGGCAACGCTTTCATTCCACCTGTACAAACGATGTAAAAATGAAGACAAAATGAAATTTCGGAGTGACTCACATCTTGTGAAAATTTTAGCCAAAGTACGATAACCAATATGACGAACAGCAGACAGAATCAAAGGGGCGCTCTTAAAAAATAATTTAATAATATTTTACAGGGATTCGCCATAAAGAAATTGAGAATATCACCTTGAATGCAGAAATGAGAGAGGTGGAATCGTTTCGGAGCCTCCTCGCCCAAGAAAACGCTGTGTTCCATTGGGCTGCTACGACATTTTCATGTGCTGAAGTTTGAAAAAAGTAGTTCTGAGAACACATCATTAAACAGATTATAAACGAACCTTCTTTATCGGGACTTGTGGTCTTCACAACCACACTGTTTGCGACTTTCTCAAGCGCTGATGAACTGGCATTCTTCGCATCTGCACAATTAGCGATACCCTCCAGAATTGAGACGCGTTGTTCGGATGATTTCGCCACTGAATCATTCATATGACATGGCCGTGCTAGACATATCCGCGCTATGAAACGTCCGTCGACATTTCGCTTCGGATGCTGTGCCCGTGACGGAAAGTGCATGAACGGTCGATATGACAGAAAAAGGCAAGCCGAGGGAATATTTGCAGCACTGTACAGGAAATAAAAGGGAGTGACAAAGCCTGGTGCGTTACTGATAATTCTTTGAACATCAACAGCAGATTCTGGTTCGTGAATTACGAAAAATGCTCGGGAACTGTTGCCGCAGAATTACTACCAACAATACGTTGAACCAACCCTATCTAACAATCGATGGACCTTATTTGAGCTTCAAAATAGCGCGAGCAAAGAATGTAATGGGACTATTCATCCTTTTATACTCTGACGTACTTCAAAACGATGCATCAGCTCCTCATTCCTGTCCTATCAGTTCCGGTTAAATTAGACTCCCCTTCCATGAAGATGGAACCCCCAACCCCCAACCGATTACGATATAGGCAAATATATGTCTTCACATCAGAAGAGGACGTTGAATAAATTGCGGCGAGAGCCACAATGTAATGCATAGTACTTTGAAACGCCGAAAATGACTTCCCGTTCAATCATACAGCCAGAATAAATTGAACTCATCTAATCTGTACCACTCTTACAGACCTGGCATAAAAACAGAAAACAAGCATAAAATGGTCAAGAAGCAAAGAAGAAGAAATCTTACTCACCAGTCAACTGCTCAAAAAGATAGTTGACGATCTTTTCTACAGTAGCGGCTTCTGCTTTTATAGTAAACGCTGCGACACCGGCTATTGCGGTATTTCTCAATTCGTCCGATGTCGATGTAACAGAGGCTAAAAGCACAACAATGGGACCTTGAAATTCGCAAAATGAAATCTACACTCACAGGTTAATCCTTTCAGCAAATCGTTTACGAATTCGTCAAGAGGGTGTTCAGAAGACTGGATCGCTTTCACCACACCTGATTATGCGAACGAACAACAATCAAAAAAGCCCAAACAATTCGACTCAGAAGTATTTGCAGAATTTACCAAATAATGCCACTTCAGGACTCCTTAACAATGACTTCTTTATATTCGGCAGCAGCTGATCACGGAACTCTGAGGCCGAAATAGAACTGAGTCTCGCGCCACAATAGTCCTAAAATAGAATGTGAATATAGACAATCAACCATAGTCAAAATATGAAGTTCGAAGTAAAATTCTCCAAACTGACTATGACGAATCCTTCAGGCTTGCTCTTTGGAAAAAGAATTGCCTTCGAAAACACGTCTAGGTATAGAGTACGATCTACATCAGCTTGTACCTTAAGCATCTGTATGAGCAAAAGAAAACGCAATAGCGAAGAACTAATGGCATAGTTACCTTTAGGAGGAAAGCCATAAGGCAGACCATTTTCTTGGCCGATGATGCATCTTTACCAACTTCAGTGATGCCTTCTTTCAAACGTCTTGCCTGTTCATCATTACTGATCAACAATCGAAGCTTTTTCTCGAATATCCCACAGGCTTTGCCGCTCGCACAGCAATAAAAGGCAAGCGTTCCCAACGCAGACACCTCAAATGAAAAAAACAAGAGTGATCCGCCCCTGACTACCCACTACAGTTCACGAACCAAAAAACACGACAATCTTAGCCTGAAAAGGGAGTATCCAAGGAAACCAACCAGTTCAGGCACAACTGCTTCTGCCACTTGCGGGAAGCGTTGCAAAATCCATTTCAAAGGTGGAATTGCTGTGCCAGCAATGCTCTCACTGTAGAAGAAAAAGTACTTATGACATTTCATATAACTTGTTATCGTAAAATCAAGAAGAGTCGTGAATCATATGCCGTTGGAGATCCCCACTTGGTGTTTTTGACTACCTAGAAGCTCTCCTCAACCTTCTTTTTTACAAACGATTTAAAATTTTCAGTATCTTCGATACTAGAAGCACATGATTACCACGACTCGCCCTCCCTACCGTACTTTTTTTAATTCAGACTCCTTTTTTGAAAATTTGACCATCAATGAAATCTATTACAACTACATCGTTGCTTATTAAAGTTTCTTCGTTAAGAACTTCAAGTTCCAAATACAGCTCGAATGCTTTTGGAGCAGCTTATTACAAGACACGAAAGAAAGTTAACAAAAAAAGTATAAAACACCTGATATTCGGTGTCAATGGAAAAAGGGCTAGAACGCTTTGAGCCAGCGAACGCCCTGTCACCCCAGGGTCATGTTTA